TAAATCAGGGATTTTTTGTTGTTGTTGAAATATATTTACTATTTTTAAAATTTGAAAAATATTTATAGTCTGATTTTTGACATCAGAATATTTGTATTGTGTTTGCATGCAAACACTGCCCTTATCCTCAGAGAAATAGAATGGTATATCTGCTTAACTGGGAATATGCATGGAGTTGGCTAATTTAACTTTTTGTGTACAATATTAGTATTTTTCTTTTTGCAACACTTAACCTGTAATTTAAACAAATTTTCTAAATATTTCTAATATAAATAATAATATCCTGAAGTATAAGACTGGGGTGTAGCAGTTTTGGTTGCAGCTGCCTATCAGGTGTGGGTCCCTGGGTTTGATCCCAACACTGCAACAAGATTCAACTAAAGGAAAAGCAACCTCCAACCTTCCTGAGCTCCAAAGCTATGCAACCAAAACTGCTTTCCAGTCAAAGAATTATAATTTACAAGTTAGCAAGTCTGATAGCCTAAGTTAATAAAGAATTTTGGGTTCTCCAGCAGCACACTTTGTGAAATTCTGGCTATCTGATGTTCCTCCTGCTATCTCTACCTCGTTTGAAAAGCTGTTGCAGCTTAGATGTGGGATTTTTAACTGGAAGATGGCCAAGCTGGCCATGCGGAGAGAGCATAGTGGCCCTCACAAAGGTGCTGCCAGGCCTTCCTGTCTCCCAGGCAGCAGCATCTGGCCCGAGCTGACCTCTGCATTCTGTGACTGTGTCTTCTCCCTACCTTACACCCAGATTCCACTTCTCCCTCTCTGGCTCCTTCTTCATGGAATTTGAAATAGCCTGATTCTATACTTAGCAAATGTCCTAAAAACTAACTTGTGAAGTACACCAGGACTGTTAAAAATAAAACTTTAACAAATGTAAAGATCTAATAGTTTCTTTTCTAATCATTGATTCACTAATTTGGTAATTTGGAAATGGCTGTTCTCCTTTTTTTTTCTTCCTTTTTTCTTTTTTCCCTGTAATGCTCAGGATTAAGCCCAATGCCTTGCACATGCTAGGTAAGTACTCTACCTCTGAACCAAACTCCAGACACCAAACAAAGATATAGAAAAGGCATTCGAAGGAGCTGGACAGTGGAGCTGTGCTCTATAGGCAGACAAACAAAAGCAGAGTACAAAAAGATGCTCACCTCTGAGTAACTTTCTTTCTAGGAATGACAGGGGACAACATTCCAAGCTCAAGTACAGTGGGTTCCAATGAGTCCCTGCTGTACAGCCCTTGTGAACTTTTTATTTTTGTCATTATCAAAAACAAACAAACAAACAAAAAAAAACAAGCAAAAAACCCTAACCTATTTCAAACTTCAGTGTGATGTTTAGTACAAACTTAGTACAAATGACTGTTCTGGTTTGGTCTAGCTGGACAGTTGGGCCTGGTACAAAAGCAAAGGCCTCCAGCAGATTTCTTTCACATTATCATAAAACAGTGGCAAGCCATTGCAAGAAAATCTTAAAAGCCCTAGTCTAGACTACTTCTTGAAATTTTCAAATCACATAACCCTAAGATCACTTCAGACCTCATGCAAGGTCTTAAGGGGAATTACGTCAGTTATAATTACTTTAGGCAGAAATTACAGACTTTGCCTAGACCAATTGGTAAGTATGTTGGCGCTTTAAATGCATTGGAAGGTAAAGGAGTTAAGTTAAAGGCAAGGTGTTCTGGTCTCCAAACTGTCTAGGACAATCCTTTGTTTTTACAGTAAATCACTGTAGAGTGAAAAAAATTCAAAACATACCATTGATCAGTCCTTGATATAACTGGTTTCTAATTATAGGTCAGGCATCCATTTCTCTCTTTAGAGAAACTTCAGGGAGCAACAAGGATAAAACTGAGGATTAAAAGGCTTTGGAAAATAAGTGGAATCCTCCAAAATAGTTTGTCATTGTCGCTGGGGTTTTTTGTTTGTTGCTGGAATTCTGAACCTGCTTGCACAGCAGCACATATTCCTATGAGTAAGTGTTTACATAGATCTAGGTTCTACATACATTTGGTCTAAATTAATAGCCAGAAGTGACAACCTGGTTCTTACTGAAACAAAACAATACATTTTCTAATTTAAGTCAAGTCATTAAAGACGTCCTCCTAGGCTGGCAAAATGTTTCAGTGTGTACAGGAGCTTGCTGCCAAGTCTGATGACCTCAGTTTGATCCTTTGAACCCACACAGTGTAGAGCCAGTACATCCTCCACATGTAACACAGAGGTACATGTACACCCCACACATATACAATAAACAAATAAATGTAAAAATGTTAACGCTTTTCCGAGAACTTGTATTTTCTGAGAAGCTTTCTATTGAAGGAGGGAACGAAACCTGTGGGGCTCACTAAGGGAAACAGTAACTTGATCATTAGTCCACATTGGTCATATGCACTCATGCCTGGGATGCACCCTTTAAGACAAATCCCTCTACTACTCATACATGCATGCAATCTTCATACATGCTTTCCACTTAAAATTTTATCAGCATGTCTCCTGGTCAAAGGCATAGCTTCTCTAAAGGGAAGGTAGGCCTATATTCACATAGGTAACAACTGTCAGTTTTCCATTAAAAAAAAAAAAAAAGCCCACCTTTTCTAAAAGCACACTGACTTCTGGCATGACAGTCTGCTGTGTTGGAGCTCCTTTTCCCTCTCTGGATCCTCTTCTACACCTGGTCTCTCACTGTCAGGACCTCACAGAGCTTGGACCTCCCCGTTCCCCCTCTTAGAATAATTCCATGGACTTTTATGTCTTCAATTTTACTTCTACAAGTTAGGGGTTAGCTCCTTTCTGAGCTGTGTACAGATACTCCTTGATTTACCATGAGGCTACATTCCAATAAACACATCATAAGCAGAAACCCTACTTATAACCTAACTTACTGCCCATGTCTGGAACACTCACATTAGCTTACAGATGGGCAAATTTCATCTAATACAAACCCATTTCATAACGAAGCACTGAATCGCCCATGTCCTTATTAAGTGCTATATCACTTAATAAACAGAAACCATAGCTGTACGTGTATAGGAGACATAGTGAAGCCTGCTCTATCTTATGTAGACATAAGGGGACGTAAAAACACAATAAGCAATAAGTACTGGAAACATAGTACACTCTTAGAGCATAGGCTGTTTCCCCTGATGATTGTGCAGCTGCCTGGGAGCTGTGGCTAGCTACCATTGCGCAGCATCTTGAGAAAGAAGCTATCTGACTGTACATCATTACTCCAATAAAAATTTACAGTTCAAAATGTGGAATTTGGCTGTCATTGAACACCAACATTGAGAGCCCACATGCTTCCTGCAAAACTACACTTGGAGATCCCACAGGTACTCTGAGCACAAACTCAACTCATTCCATGCCCTTTAAACTCACTTTTGCCTGTACTCCTCCTCAGCTGAGTGTATGGAGTCCACATCTGTTACTTATGGAGGCTAGAAGCCTTGCATTTTGGAACTCTTCCTTACCCTTAGCCCCCTGTCCTCTCTGCCACTGCTTCGGTGAACCACTTCTACCCTTTACAGAAAATGGATTCATTCCTAAATAGTTTTATCTTGGCTCACTATACATCCGTTCACATCTTGGAAATCTATTTTTCTTAATATAATGTCCCAAACTCCAAAAACACATGGCCTAGCAGGGCCTTTAAGACCTGTCTATTTGTGTCTATTTACTTCTGTGCCCACAAACTAATCTGTAGGCTTTCTCTGAAGTCCCCAAAGACTATACAATTGGAAAATACTCGGGCTTTCACTAACCCCCTTTCTGATGAAATTATATTCGGCAGTTTCCCATCTACTATCATCTTTTACTTGAGAATCTACTTAGTCCCTAGAAACATTGTATATACTCAAGGCAGAACTAGACAGCCTGGCCCAAGGCTCCCTGTCAAAACCACAGTATGTATTTCACTGTATTGTCCTCAGATGTTTTCAGTGTTGGTCTTTCCCCCACACCCTATCCCTGACTATGACCTTTCCTGGGAATGGGTGAACCTAGTTTGCCTACATAAGAGGTAACTCCTGTTGAAGACACCAAAAGAGTACTTTTGAATAAATGAGTGGCATCCTAGATGAAAAGAACCAGAGGTGAATTTAACTCTTTGACTTCCACCTGCAACAAAATGTCTCAATAAGTTACAACATCTGCAGTAATCCAGTTCCCCCATAACAGTTTTCACTACTGACTGATCGTTGCGAAACGTAAAGAGACTATAATCCTTCTGGCATAACCTATACAGTCCTGCAAAATCTGCAGCCTGCCCACACCCCCAGTCTCATTTCCCTTCCTCCCCTTTACTCTGTTTAGGCCACAGGCTTTCCTTTCGTGCGTCTAAATAGCAAAGCTTATTCCAGTACCAAAGGCTTTGTGCTACCTGCAAAGGACTAGCCTCAGATCTTTGTTGGGCTAGCTTTTTGTCATTTATGTCGTGCAATGTCATTCTCTGGGAGATCTCTCCTACCAATCTAAAAGAGGCCATCACATCCTAGTCAAGCCGGATTCCATTACTTTGTTTTCTTTTTTCTAATCATTTTGCAGTTTCATCTTTTCTTCTTAAGAATAAAGCAAGAGAATGCTCAACAAAGTCTCCTCAACAACTAGAGCAGTATCACGCCAGTAAACACTTACTAAACGAATAAATGCCCTTAAACAACTATCAAGGTGTCCACTGTGAATCCCACCCCCACCCCACCCCCTCGTTTCATTCACAGGAAACCGCGAGGATCGCTAACCTCGCAGGGAAGCCCTTGAGCCCTCATTGCGATCCCAAAGAGCGTGCTCTCTGGCAGGCTGGGCGAGGCCTCCGCAGCCTGGAAAGCTCACCGGGTCTCAGAGACCGACAGATGCACCAGGACCTG